AATTATTATTTTACTATTATTTATTATTATTATAGTATTATATTATTATTATTATTATTATTATTATTATTATTATTGCTTATTAATATTATTATTATTTTATTATTATTATCATTATTATTATTATTGAATTAATATGATTTATTATTATTATCATTATTTTATTTTTTTTATTTTATTATCATTATGCATTTTTTTATTTTTATTATTACTTATATTGGCGATGCAGTGGCGCAGTGGGTAGTGCTGTCCCCTCACAGCAAGGTCACTGGTTCGAGCCTCAGCTGGATCAGTTGGCGTTTCTGTGTGGAGTTTGCATGTTCTCCCTGCGTTCGTGTGGGTTTCCTCTGGGTGCTCCGGTTTCCCCCACATTTTAAAAACATGCGGTACAGGTGAATTAGGCTAAATTGTCCGTAGTGTAAGTGAATGAGTGTGTATGGTTGTCCCAGAGATGGGTTGCAGCTGGAAGGTCATCTGCTGCATAAAACATATGCTGGACAAGTTGGCAGTCCATTCCACTGTGGAGACCCCAGATTAATAAAGGGACTAAGCCGAAAAGAAAATAATTGAATGAATTAAAGAGCCATCTTTATTTCTTCTTTCATTTGCAAAATTTTTATATAAAGACATACAGTTGAAATCAGAATTATTAGCCCTGCTGAATTATTACCACCTGTATAATTTCTGTTTAATGGAAACAAAATATTTCCAACATATTTCTAAACATAATGGTTTTAATAACTCATCTCTAATAACTGATTTATTTTATCTTTGCCATAATGATAGTATATAATATTTGACTAGATATTTTTCAAGACACTTCTATACAGCTTAAAGTGACATTTAAAGGCTTAACTAGGTTAATTAGGTTAACTAGGCAGGTTAGGGTAACTAGGCTTTTTAAAAATTAATAACTGCTTTTATTCTAGCCAAAATAAAACAAATAAGACTTTCTCCAGAAGAAAAAAATATTATCAGACATACTGTGAAAATTTCCTTGCTCTGTTAAACATCATTTGGGAAATATTTGAAAAAAAAAAACCGCACAGGAGAGCGAATCACTGCAACTTCAACTGTATATTGTGTGGCATTTTAGCCTGTTGTTTGAGTCAAATTTTGTTTACTTCTTCTCCTGCATCTGCTCATGTGTAATATCTGTGTGAACGGTGACCATCGAGTCCCAACAGGAAGTTAGTTAATTGTTTCCTGTGTCCTTTTAGTGTCCACAATTACATCTTAAACAGATCCTATCCTTGTAACTCCCATGGGCTGATTCAGCATTCCTACACTGAAAGATGAACACAGATTTACTGTACACGCTGCTATTTTAGTGACTTTGAGGCTTCCTTTAGAGAGGGAGGAGATGATATGAAAACCAGAGGAGGAATTTTTGGTGATAAATAAACAAGATTCAAATCAGATAAAGTTTTACAACATGAGAGAGAGAGATAGCAGCCGCTGGTGACACGCTATGTAGCAATTATTTATTTATTTATTTTTGTTTTATTAAGATGTGTTGTTTTATATGTTATCATGTTATGTTATTTTATTTTTATTTTGGGGAAATATAGTATATCTTATTATGCATTTACTGATAGATTAGTTAATATAATATTATTTGCAACTAATATTTTATTCAATTTATTATTTTTTATTTTATTTTATAGCTTTGCAAGTAAATTCGTTTAATTAATTTTTTTTTCTTTTTTTCATTTTATATTTAATTCTTACATTTTTGTTTGATTTTTTTTTTTTTTTTAATGTACTTTATTTTATTTTATTCCTTAGCATTTTATTTTGTTTTACTTATTTTGTTTTATTTTTCATTTCATTTTATTTTTTATTTTATATAAAAAAGGTTTTTTATTTTTATTACAATTTTTATTTGCATTTTATTTCGTTTTATTTTGTTTTATTTATTTTCTTTATTTAATTTTTTTTGTTTTTATTTATATTTTTATTTTATTTTAGATTTTAATATATATATATTTTATTTTTTATTTTATTTAATTAAATTTTATTTATTTTGTTTTATTTTTTCATTTCAATTCATATAAAATGTTTTATAATTTTTATTTAATTCAATACATTTATTTACTTATTTGCATTTTGCTTTGTATTTTTCATTTTTTTCTTTGATATTTTTTATTTATATTTATATTTTTTATTGCATTACATTTAATTTTTCAATTTCATTTCTTTTTATATTTTATATTTTGTTTTATATTTTATTTATATTTCATTTTATACAAAAAAAATTCATATTGTTTATTTATCTGCATTTTATTTTGTAATATTTTATTTTATTTTATTTTATTTTATTTTATTTCATTTTATTTTAATTGCATTGCATTGCATTGAATTGCATTGCTTTGCATAGCCGAAGATATAGTATCTTAATAAAATCTAAATTTGTAACTTGATTTGGCTTTTGGTCACTTAAATGCATTACAAAAAGTTATTAAAATCTCAAATATTTTAATTATTTTTAAACAGCAAAACACTTCTGTTTCTGTAGTAAACAAACAGAAACTCCCCCCTAATGAGAAATGTTTCATAGCTCAGTCACTCTGCCTCATAAAAACAGTCCCCCTGAATCCCCCCTGCTGTTATCATGCTTTCTCTGTGGCCTGCTGATCTGCCCATTGCTAAAACTCCAGCATTTCCTTCATGCCGATAAACTCAGGAAGGAGATTGTCCACAGCGTGAGCCTGATATGTGACAGAACACCCACATTACGTAACGCTTGTTTTTGGGCTGCCAGTGAACATCGGTTTGAGGGATACTCATTCTGAAGGGTCCCTGCATCCCTCCACAGCGTGTTTAGGACATTATGAAACCTTTTACTGTAGATTAAATGATAAACTAGCTGATATGCTACTGTAGCGATGGCTAACAGAGGGTGCTAGCAGTCATTTTAGAGTAATGTGAACACTTATAATGGGTTTCCTCTTTAGTCATGTCACTTCGCTTATGTCAATGCGCTGTGGAAACCTAACTAGTCAAAATGTTGTTGGTACTTCAATCACCTCAGGTTGTTTTCCATGTGTTTGATAGGTTACGGTGGTCCCTTGAAGGATGTTCCAGCAGAGAAGTTCAACTGTACAGCTATGCCCAAATCCTACCAGTCTCCTTGGGAGCAGGCCCTCACCAGTGACCCTGCCCTGGCCCAAACACTGCTGGCCCGCGTCCCTGAACCTGAGAGCAAACAGCAGATCCCACAGTACAAGAGCTTCAACAGGTCTGCTGGTTTTGGAGGCTTTTATTACCAATAATTTTTAAAGCAGCATAAATGAGAGTGTAAATTACAATGCAGAATTTTGCCAAATTATTTATTTTAATTTATTAAAAATTCGTTTGAAGATACTTGACATTTTTTATTTATTTATTTTAAAAAAAAATTTATTTTAAAATTTAATTTATTATTTTTTTATTTAACTACATTTTTTAATTTTATTTTAATTGTTTATTTTATTTATTTTTTATTTATTTATTTTATTTATTTAATGTTTTATTTTATTTTTTCCTTTAATTTTTATATTTTTTATTGTATTATATTATTTTATTGTACTTTAGTTTATTTATTTTATTGTATTGCTTTGCATTTTATTTTCCTTTATTTAATTTATTTTGTTTAGTTTTTTTCATTTGATTTTATATAAAAAATTTTAGTTTTTAATTTACTTTAATGTATTTGCAGTTTTTTGTATTATTTTATTTCTTTTCTTTATTATATGTTTTTATTTTATTATTTTTTTATTTAATTTAATTTATTTTATTTTTTAATATAACTTCATTATTTTAATTTAATTTAATAAATTTTTATTTTTTGTGTTATTATTCTTTTTATATTTTAATATTTTTATTTATATTTTATTTTTGATTTTATTTTATTGTACTTTATTTTATCGTGCTTTGTATTGTATTTATTTATTTTTTGTTTCTTGATTTTATTTTATATAAAAATGTTTTAGTTTTTAATTTAATTTATTTACAGTTTATTTTGTATTATTTTATATCTTTTTTTTTTTCTTTGCATTCTTTTAAAAATATATTTATTTTGTTTTATTTTATTTGTTGTTACATGGGCCAAGTTAATGCAATCAATGAATCGTCAATAGTGAAGACGGGGGAGGTGAGGAAGGGGATGGGTTTTTGGGGGTTTGGGGGATGTTGATGTTGGTGATCAACATCGGGGGTTACATTGCCAGGGCCCTATGCACTCTGTACCCCTTTCACCCCCCACTAGCAACCCTTATTTTTTTTTATTTTGTATTCATTTTTGTATTTTACTATAATTTATTTTTGTTATTTTTCTGTATTTTTTTTTACTTTATTTCAATTAATTTATTTTTATTTATTTGAATTTGTTATTTTATTTCATTTATTTTATTTATTTATTTATTATTTTATTTTATGTGAATGTTTTAATTTAATTTAGTTTAGTTTTATTTTATGTCAAAATATTGAAATTGTTAATTTACTCTTATTTTTTACAGTGAAGTGGAGAAAAACACCTAAAATGTTGTTCTGTATATTTATGCAGCATTTAAATGCTTTAAATTTCTTTCTGTGTTAAACCTTAAGCTCTAATAAATGTCTCTCCTGTATTTAAAGGGTGGCAATTCCATTCGGCGGCTTCGGCAAGGCTCCCAAAGTCCCTGTTAAAGCTGTAGATTCGGATCCAGAACTCGTCGTTCCTCGTCCCGCAGCTGAAGTCCCTGCTATTGTCAAACGACCCACCTTCAACAGGACGGCCTCAGGATGGGTCACCGACAGCGCCCCTCTGACCTTTCCCAGCATCCCTCTGGAGCCCATTTCATCCATGTCTTCCACATTCATCCCCGAGTCTGATGACCTCTGAACCTCAACCTTGTTTACATGAGCTTGTCTCTTGTTCATTACCATGGGGGAATATTTTTTAATGTCTTTGCAAGAAGACTTAATGATCAAAAAAGATTTATTATTAATAACAAAAACTTTTTCCTTTGGTTGAAGCCACAAAATGATGATAAAACATCTGGCTGGTAGTGTAAAGCAGAGGTGTACACTGTATAATGGAGTAAATTTAGCATGAGAAACAAAGTAAGTAAAGCTTATATGGGATATATGTGACTGATTTCTGTTTTAGAAATGTCCATCTGAACCAGTTCACAAAGCTGAAGGAGAGCTTTAGAAAGAGTTTGTTCATATAGACCTGTAAATATGTATTTATGAAGGGCTGTGACATCGATTTATTTAAATTATTGAATAAAGAAAACATTCACTGAACTTGTGTTTCCGTTTGAGTATTTTTAATTTACATTTAATAAATTACACTCAAAATACTTTTCTTTATAAGTTCATGCTCTAAAATTAGTTACAAATGTTTTTTGATTCTCTGATTTTTTTGTTTGTTTGTTTTGAAGCAAATTAAATAAATAAATAAATAAATAAATAAATCTATTTCACAATCATTTAAATAATTAACTTCCTTATAGCTTGGATGGTTTTAAATGAATGAATGAATGAATGAATGAATGAATGAACGAATGAACGAATAAATGAATGAATGAATGAATAAATAAATAAATAAATGAATGAATTAATGAATAATTGAATCAATGAATGATTGAATATATAACTAAATGAACAAATGAATGAATGAATAAATTAATTAATTAATAAATGAATGAATGAATGAATGAATAAATGAATAAATGAATGAATGAATGAATGAATGAATGAATGAATGAATGAAAGAACGAAATTAATGAATAAATGATTGAATTATTGACTGAACAAATAATAGAATAAATAAATCTATTTCACAATCATTTAAATAATTAACTTCCTTATAGCTAGGATGGTTTTAAATTAATTAATTTTATTTCACAATTATTTAAATTAGTGTCTTTTTCAAATAGTTTGTATGGTTTTAAATAAGTAAATAAATGAATAAATTAATTAATTTATGATTAAATTAATAAATAAATGAATGACTGATGAATGAAAGAATAAATGAATGAATGAATAAGAAAATGAATTAATTAATGAATACATGAATACATGAATAAATGAATAAATGAATAAATGAATAAATGAATAAATGAATGAATAAATAAATAAACAAATAAACAAATAAATAAAATTAATTATTTAATTAATTAATGAGTGAGTGAATTAATGAAGGAATGAATGAAGGAATGAATGAATATTCATTATGTTGATTGGCTTCCAGCTAACTCTATCAAGCCTCTTCAGCTGCTCCAGAACGCAGCAGCATGAGTGGTCTTTAATGAACCTAAAAGAGCACATGTCACTCCGCTGCTCATCTGTTTGCACTGGCTGCCAGTTGCTGCTCGCATCAAATTCAAAGCTCTGATGTTTGCCTACAAAGAGACTTCTGGCTTTGCTCCTTCTTATCTGCTCTCACCTCTGCAGATCTATGTGCCCTCCAGAAACTGCGTTCTGTGAATGAGCGTCGCCTCGTGGTTTCATCCCAAAGAGGAAAGAAATCACTTTCCCGAACTCTCGCATTCAGTCTGCCCAGTTGGTGGAATGAACTCCCTAACTGCAACAGAACAGCAGAGTCACTCGCTGTTTTCAAGAAACGACTAAAAACTCAACTATTTAGTCTCCACTTTCCTTCCTAATCTGCAATTGCCTCTCTGGATATACCACTAACTGTACTCAAATAATAAAAAAAAATTTACTAATACTTTCTTCCTTAGACTTTACACACCTGAAACTTGTCTACAGCACTTATTCATTGTTGCTCTTATAGTTGTGTAAATTGCTTCCTTGTCCTCATTTGTAAGTCGCTTTGAATAAAAGCGTCTGCTAAATGACTAAATGTAAATGTAAATTTTGAGAATACAATTTTAATGATTTCTTTTAAAAACACATTTACATTGCTAAAATTAGAAATGGATTTGTAGTATGAGTGCTATTTTAAAAGAAAGACAAATGTTAATTAAATATAACACAATTTCATTCCTCTAAAATGTAAAAAGAGATCATATTTTATTTGAGGAATTACACTTTCGCTCCATTAGCGTCCTGTTGGGTGGTTGATATTTAATTCACATTAACAAACCAACATCACATGCTGCCAGCACTGTTGCTGTTTTTAACGATTAACGGTCAATTAACCTCCTGATCCAATGGCTGCTAATAACCAGCCTGCAGTCTAGACACTGAATAATCACACCGGGTGGTCAAATACCATAAGACAGCAGCATGATCATGCGGACACGATGGCACGGTGCATTGTTGATGGGGCTGGGCTGATGAGTGTAACCAAAAATACTTAAAGGTCAAGAGCAGGTTGCTGCAGGACGTGGTAGAAAGGTGTAAGAAAAACAAAATCCATGCTGAGCATTAATGGAAAATACACAAGCCGTGCACCTCGTGTTTTAAGTCATCAGAGTCAGCATTGATCTCTGGCACGATGCCATTACATAAACTGACAGAATGTGATTATGACTCACACACACACACACACACACACACACACACACACACACACACACACACACACACACACACACACACACAGAGAGAGAGAGAGAGAGAGAGCAGAGCAGATATTCAGAACTGCATGTAATGTAATTAGAGGTGCTCGCTAAAGTATGCATTACTATTACTACTGCTGATACTTAGGATTAGAGTTTGAACAAACTACTTGAGCTAAATATTAAATATTAAAGGAATGCTCTGCCTATTTTGAAAATAAGTTCATTTTCACTAAACTAGAGTTAAAGAGTTGAGTTTTATCATTTTTTGAATCCATTCAGTCGATCTCCGGGTCTTGCAGGAGCACTTTTTAGCATAGCTTAGCATTGATCATTGAATCGGATTAGACCATTAGCATCTGTAAAGATCTGAAGAAATAACTTGACATAGTTTGAAGGGAATGCTACACTTATTTTGAAAATAGCCTCATTTTACACTCCCCTACAGTTAAAGAGTTTAGTTTTACCATTCTTTATCTATTCAGCTGATCTCTGGGCCTTGCAGGAGCACTTTTAGCTTAGCTTAGCATAGATCATTGAATCGGATTAGACCATTAGCATCTGTAAAGATCTGAACTAATAACTTACCCAAAATATTAAAGGAACCACTAACTTATCCAGCACATGTTTCATGCAGCGGATGCCCTTCCAGCCGCAACCCTTCTCTGGGAAACATCCATACACACCCATTCACACTCATACACTACGGACAATTAAGCCTACCCAATTCACCTGTACCGCATGTCTTTGGACTGTAGGGGAAACCGGAGCACCTGGAGGAAACCTACGCGAACGCAGGGAGAACATGCAAACTCCACAGAAAAACACCAACTGACCCAGTCAGGGGCGGACTGGCCATCTGGCAGACCGGGCACTTTCCCGCTGGGTCGACATACTTTTTGGGCCGGGCTGATCATCGTCTTATGATCTGATCGGCCCATAAAAGACTTAGCAGCCTATCGTTTGACGCTGCTGTGATTTATGACTCTCTGAAAGTAAGATGCTTTTTTTCCCGGACAGACAGACCGGGCTGGGCCATGTGACACTCTGCAGCCCATTGGTTCTTTTCTGTATTGACATTGGGCTGGCCAAGGCCCGGATTGGCTAATCGGGAGGACCGGGAGAATTCCCGGTGGGCCGGTCCGTTTTTTGGCCGCGAGGGCCGGTGTCCCTAGTTCCAGAATCTGTTGCTCTAAGCAGTCACACTTTTTAAATTAATTTATTTATTTACTTGACCACAGTCTTCTTATTCATTAATTTAATACAGCTCTCTGCTCTTTTCATATATAACCAGCCTGCAGGTTCATAATGTTATAAGTCACCCCTCACTATACATCCGTTGTGGCCCAGTGGTTAGCACGTTAGATTACAATGTTGCCGACCCGGGTTTAATCCTCGCCTGAGAAAATTATTATTTTCAATTTTATTGTTGAGACATATAATACTGTTTGGGTTGTTGAACATTTGAAGTTCTAAAGCAGTTGTTTTCTCCAAAAAAAAAAAAAAAAAAAAAAGACGTGATAGTGTAATTAGAAACTGAATTGGAAATGACCTTATTTTAAAATAGTCAGTCGTGAACTGAGGTGGGCCGGTCTGAGGCTTGAAACTCCAGGGCTGAAAAGGAGTCCCACTCCGGCCCTGGGCTGGCCCAATCACAAACTCCTATTTTGGGCTCTGTATGAGCGTGCATTGTCTGTGTGTATTTGTCAAAATAGTCGAGAGTCAGAGAGAAGAAACGGAAGGGAGGCGCAGAGAAATCGCGGGAAATACACCGGCGTTTCATTTAGCGGTTCTGAAAAGTTCTCCTTTCATTCTAGTACACGGCTAAAAACGCAAATCACGTGACCACACACACACTGCCAAGAGCTGCACCCAGTAGTTCAGCAGGTGAGCATAAACCCCAGGTGCTGGAATAGTTGGCAGTTCATTCCACTGCGGCAACCCCTGATAAATAAAGGACTAATGCTAAGAAAAATAAATGAATGAATAGTGTATTTTTAAGAACTCAACAAATATCTTAATGGACAGTATACAGAAATTAAATTGAGATTAAAGTTTGTATTTATTTATTTATTTCATATATACGGCTTTTGTACTTTATAAAATATGAATTGATAAAAAATATTGGACGTGCATAGATAGAGAGCATTTTGATTGAATGTAGTGGGCCGCTCTGACCCAAAATGCCAGGGCCGATTTTTTGCCCCAGTCCAGCCCTGGACCCAGCAATATTCTTTTTTATACAACAGTTCTGTCTGGTTCTCGAATCTAATTGGCTGATAGCCGTGATATATTTAAGTAATATCAGCACCCGTACAGCCTCTTTACCCTTTGTGTATTACTCCGCCCACATACAACCAGCAAAAAGCAGAGACACTACAGATCTAAAGTTTAAAAGATGCTTGCTCAGCTGTTTAACTGTCAGCTTATGATTTGAATCCAACGTGGAAGAAAGTAGTTCCTCAAACAAAAGGGTTTTTGAGACTCCATGTTTGATTTAGTCCTTATATACACAATTATGGCATCAAACTGTTGAATAAACGCAATATCACACTCGTAGCAGTGCGATATGGCTGTATATCGGCACTGGTGGGGGCACTGAGGCACTCGGCTTGCAGCCTCCTACCAACGCACGCCTCCCACCAGTGCCGTTATACAGCCATATCGCACTGCTACTCGTGTGGGAGTTTGCATGTTCTCCCTGCGTTCGCGTGGGTGATCTATGAGTGTGTGTGTGAATGCGAGTGTGGATGTTTCCCAGAGATGGGTTGCAGCTGGAAGGGCATGTGCTGCGTAAAAACTTGCCGGATAAGTAAGCGGTTCATTCCGCTGTGGCGACCCCGGATTAATAAAGGGACTAAGCCGACAAGAAAATGAATGAATGAAATACTCATGAAAATGTATAAATATACAATTACGTGTGCCAAAAATCAGTAAAGCTGGACTTAATAAAAATGTAA